AAAAAAAAAAAAGAAAAAAAAAAAGAAAAAAAAGAACCACCCCCCGACCCACATCGACCCACCCTCTTTTATCTTCTTGCATTTTGAGTAAGGTAGATCATAAGTCATAACCAAGACTAAAAAATTAATGACTTGTAGGGTGTCCTATACTGCTAACTGTTTGGTAAATCCTTCCAGTGAAGCTTTTGCTCAACTTTATATTATGGGATCCGTGGAGGATACAGGTCTCCTTTTGCTCTGTTTAGCACGCAAAAATTTGTGTGCCTGTATAAAAGTTATTGTTTTTATTGAAAACTAATTCTCATTCTTTGGTCCAAATAAAATATGTGTTTGTGAAAGAGTTTTCAAATGTGAACTAAACAGTTATACTTTCTGTTTCCTTGAAAGCAACGGATCTAGGGCCTTTATCAATGATGTTTTAGTTTGTGAAAGCACATAGTTTCCATTATTTTGTTATCATTAAGTCGATTTGTATAGAACAGGGAGCCATAAGACAACGAAATCTCTGTTCTACTTTCCTTTGTGCCCTGGCAATTTAACAACCAAGCAGATATTGTCAACTGAAACATTTTATAATACTCTTAGCATCAAGTTACCATTACATGCAGGATAAAGATTATCTAGGATATTTTTGAAAAAAGGGTCTCAACAGGCCCCAAAAGCTTGTCCGTCGCAAGCTTCTCCCATGATGCCGATTGTTACCAGGGTCCCTTCTGAGCAGGAGAAGTGCCAGCTCAATACTCACTCCAACTTGGAAGGCCAAAGTCATGCTTTAAGAAGCAAGACTTAATCACACGAACCATCTGTATCCATTGCAATTGATAATATACCCCGGAACATCAGCCCTCTGGAACTGGAGGAGGCAATTTCAATCTATGGAGAGGTCCAAGGTATCTCTCTGAGATCAGGAGATGGTGGAGTCTGTAGCTGTCATGTCAAATTTAAGGTATACACAAGCTTTCTGTCAATTACAAATGCAGTTATTTTGCTTCTACCATAACTACATCTGGTCAAAAACTTCTAGAGTGTGAGAGCAAAGAAGAAGGCACTTGCAGCTAGATGTATTACTGTGAAGAATTCTCAGCTTCTGATCCGCAATCTTCACAACAGCTCGGATTACATTTCGCGCATCTCGATTAGGATAGCTAATATTAGCAAGAAGATGACTGAGGTGGCTATACACTCAATATGCATGTCATATGGAGACGTGATTGCCCTTGCAAGGAGCAAAGAGGGTGCAATTGATGTGATGTTCAGAGTTTTAGGATGCTCATGTTTCACAGCGCATAGTGAAGTAGTAAGCAATCTCTTTACCATCTTTTTATTGCTTTTTTTTAATTATTAAAATTTTGAATTTGTATCTTCATTTTGTAATACCTAGGCTTTCGGTACATGGCTGTTTGTATAGTATCAGAGTGGACTCTAGATATCATGTCATATCTTTGACCAGTGCCGATGACATGTCAGTTTTGTGAAAAAATAATTGATTCTTCTGCATGTTATGTATAAGTAGAACTGTAGAAACATCTCTATTTTTCCATGACACAAAACTTGAGGTGTTGGTGCAAGACTTCCATAATCGTTTTTATTAGAAAAATTGAACTGTATCCTATTAGATTATCATTCCTGACCGCAGCTAGGGTAAGTTGCCCCGTGGTTCGCATCTGACACGTTTTCAACCATTTTGACTTGTATATCTTTTATATCAACCTTGTGGCCTTGTGGATTGATAGATATAGAAGGGTAGTTAAAACATTTTATCAAAGACATCCGCGATGTAAGCAACAATTACCAACAGTTCATGGTATTTTATCTGTAGCTTCAAATATTCACGGGTACTATTCTCTAATGGAAAAGTTTATGAGAGCTTTGTGCAAAACCTCTAAAAAATTCATGGTGGCTTTGTGAAGGTTACCCTGTTTAGGGTTACCGCTGCTTAGCTTTGGTTTGCCTCTGGAGCTGCTCGCAGTTGACTGTGATGTGGATGAACATTTTTCTTTTAGAGACGTCGAATGCTTTGGTGTTAACTCCATTTGCAGTTAAGTACAACTTCATCACCAGATTAGCTCTGATCCTTTGCTTATCGTCTTTTCAGTTTGAACGATGTTGTGATTGATGAGCGCCGATGGTCAGCTAAGCTGCTAACAGAGCTTGATCAAGCCAACACAGCAAGTTCCTCTGATTCTCATCAGCCAGTTGGTTCACAAATTAACAGTCACTTGGAAAGCTTGAGGAGTCGACTCAATATGCATGGAGGACCTCGAGAATCTCCACAATGCGGTGTTACACCTCAGGGGTCAGTGAAAGACCTGAACTATAGAAAATTTCGGTCGATTAACTTTCGTTTACTTGCTCTCTCATTCAAGAGCAAATTCCTAACTGAATTTACTTGTATGATATAAGTTCTCATACAAGTAAAAGCCAAAGTATTCTGCTGGTCTCGACTTTGTCCTTGGATACTTTGACGGTATCTACTACCCGCAAGTATAATTGTACTGTATTCACGTAAAGTGAGAGTAGTATGTTCTTCTACATCATTTTTTTTTTCCTCAAACAAAAGTTTGTGAGTCTTGATGAATCTTTGACCTTTCTTAGCCAAATTCTTTGGTTCACGAACAAGAAGCTTCTTATTTAGGTTCGTGCCTCCAAATCTAAGGAGAAAGTATCTGATATATGCAACGATGTGCTTCCAAATCTGAGGAGGAAGTATCTGATATATGCAAAGATCATCGTTCGCAACAATATCTTGGGAAATGATATGGGAAATTGCTCTAATTACTTCATGCACGAGTAGTGAATGAGTAATATCCTTTCTTTCTTGGGTTAATTGCAGGTAAAACCCCTTGTAGTATTGGCCAATTGCGGGTGGACCCCCCTTAGTGAACTTTTTTTTGGTCGACTCTTTTAAGAGACTAAAAATTTACCAATTGGAGGTCTATCCACACCAGTAGAACTACTGCGGGTCTATCCACAGTAGTTCTACTACTGCGGGTTCAACCTGCCTTTATGGAACTTTTTTGATTCTTGTAAGAGTATTAAAAAAAAACAATCTAAGGAAGTCTATCGGCGCAAGTTCTGAACTGTAGGGGGGTCTATTCGCAATTAACCCTTGTGTTTATCAGATTTGTGTAAATTTACGATCACGGTAAACATTTGGGAAAATTTGCAAAATAATCTGATTTTGCTAATTATTTAGCAAAATAGACCGTTTTGCTAAATAATTAGCAAAATAGACCCCTTTTGAAAAAAAGAGGTCGATTTTGAAAAACAAGACTCAGAAAACATACGGGACTACTAGTCCCGTATGTTTAGAGTCACTTAATCACGGATTAGTGACTCAGAAAACATACGAGACTAGTAGTCCCGTATGTTTTTTGAGTTCATCTCAATGTTTTGTGAAATTTTCTGAGTTTACTAATCCGTGATTAAAACATACGAGATTACTAGTCCCGTATGTTTTCTGAGCTGTTTTGCAAAATAGACCTCTTTTTGGCATGTTGGCCAAAAAGAGGTCTATTTTGCTAATTATTTACTAAAATGGTCTATTTTGCTAAATAATTAACAAAAACAGACTATTTTACAAATTTTCCCTAAACATTTGCAGCACTTAAAAGTGAACAACGCACCTAAGCCCAAAATTCCTTTTAGAAACTAGCGCGGTAACATCACCGGACGGTGACTGTACCCGGAGTCACCGATCACGCGCGTTATAAAACGATTTCTGCGCTTCTACGGGCCTCATCAGGAGGTAGCGGCTCTCTCTTACTTTAAAAAGCGAAGGAAAAAAAAATCTCGAGAGAGAAAAGAAAATGGTGAGATCTAAAACCCTGTTACTGCTGATCTCCCTCCAAACCCTAGCCCTCGCCCTCCTCCTCTCCCCGTCCCTCGCCGACGACGGCGACGTCGTCGTCCTCACGGCCTCCAACTTCGAGAACGAGGTCGGCGGCGATCGCGGCGCTCTCGTCGAGTTCTACGCCCCCTGGTAACGATTTCCTTAATTCTCTCGATAGAATCATAAAATTCCGTTATCGGATTGCTTAGGATGTGACAATTTAGGGATCGGTTTTTATTTATTTATTAGGATTGTACTCTTTTGGATCTTCGGGATTTTTGTATAGTAGGTTGAAGATTTTAGGTTTCATGATAGATGTTTTTTAGTTGGATTTGATTGATGTATGAGATTTAGGGACTGGTTTTCTGATAAAGATTGTATTTTTTTTACTTTTCCTTGAAGTTGTTTCATCTTAGAAATGCTACGTTCAGCGAATCACAAATAAAATTCGTAATTGTAGTATTTTTAGCTACCTTTTTTTATTGGTTACATTATATTGTGATGGGATTGCTTAGCATATGAGGACTAGGAGATATTTCTGATTGGGATGGCACTTTTTGGATTTTTTGGGATCTGCATACGAGTTGAAGATTTAGACGAGGCTTCTGTCTCGTGATTCCCGGCATTCATGGAAAATTCAGTAAGTTGCTTTGATGGGATATGTTATAATTAAAAATGGTCTCAATATTGGGTTTTAGACCAAAGTTTCATATTTGCCTCCCAAGTACAAACTTTAGGAGGCTCCTACTGTGTATGAATTGCGAAGAAGAGAGGACACGTACCATTTTTTTACTTTTCCTGGAAGTTGTTTTATCTTTGAAATGCAGTAGTTCATGTATTTCAATTAAAAAATTAGTGAGAGCTTTGATCATTGACTCTTTGTTATAGATAAACGACTGAATGAACATGATGGTTTCTATGGTTTGTTGACACTCGGAGAAGTAGAATACATGGGGACTTGGGGATGAGTGAAGCACCAGTTGAACCACTGGATCGTTCCCTTTTGCTGGGGCACAGCAATTATTTTCATCGTGTATAGAGGAAACCATTCTCTGTGAATCCCAAATATGTGCAGTGATTGATTCATGTTTGGATGTTGGAAGACTTTCCTTGTTCAAACATCATGGGATCTTAACTACTGGTGCCACATTGCTTGGGGGCATTAGCGGGATAGTATAAGGAGAGATTGGTCCAAGGTTCATACCTGTGAGGATTTTAGACCTATTCTACTACCTGCACAAGAAAGAGCATGAAATCTTCAGTTGGAAGAAACATTATAAATAGGTGGAGATGAAATATGCCTGTCAGGTGAGTTTGGATGTTGGCTTTGGGTTGTAGGGCATGGGTTTAGGTAGTGTTTTTGATGAAACTCGAAGCCTGTCTGTTTCTTGATCTGATTCATGTCTGGATGTTGGAAGAATTTCCTTGCTCAAACATTATGGGATTTTAACTACTGGTGCCACATTGCTTGGGGGCATTAGCAGGATAGTATAAGGAGAGATTGGTTTAAGGTTCATGCCTGTGAGGATTTTATACCTATTCTACTAACTGCACAAGAAAGAGCATGAAATCTTCAATCGGAAGAAATGTTATAAAGAGGTGGAGATGAAATATGCCTGTCAGGTGAGTTTGGATTTGGCTTTGGGTTGTAGGGCATGGGTTTAGGTAGTGTTTTTGATGAAACTCAAAGCCTGTCTGTTTCTTGATCTGATTCATGTCTGGATGTTGGAAGAATTTCCTTGCTCAATCATCATGGGATTTTAACTACTGATGCCACATTGATTGGGGGCATTAGCGGGATAGTATAAGGAGAGATTGGTTAAGGTTCATGCCTGTGAGGATTTTAAACCTATTCTACTAACTGCACAAGAAAGAGCATGAAATCTTCAATCGGAAGAAATGTTATAAAGAGGTGGAGATGAAATATGCCTGTCAGGTGAGTTTGGATTTGGCTTTGGGTTGTAGGGCATGGGTTTAGGTAGTGTTTTTGATGAAACTCAAAACCTGTTTGTTTGGGTTCGGCTGTGCTCTTATTAATTCGATATGCAGATCAGGTCTAAGTAAAAACACAACCCGGTGATCACCTCCATATGCAGATTGGGTTCTCATTAATTCGATATTGTAGGCTTGTGTTGATAAATTTTATTGGGTTGCTTACTTGTGTCTGTTGCTTCCAGGTGTGGACATTGTAAGAAGCTCGCCCCTGAGTACGAGAAATTAGGTTCAAGTTTCAAAAAGGCAAAATCTGTGTTGATTGGAAAGGTAATGTCTTTTCCTTGTTACTTGCATGTACATCATGCTATCCGAGGTATTGAAGTTCGGTGCTGTTCTTCCTTCTGCGGACAATGTTATGTCCCTGATCATTTGAATTTTCTGTATGTTGCAAATGTTATTTGTCTTATATATTACACTTCAAAATTATATGTCTGAAATTTGAACTCTGGAAGAAGAGTGATGCGTAAATGTTTAGGATTAACTAGGTCAGCTTCTAATAAGTATCAAGAGGTGGCATACTGAAATCTTTTTGATTGATAAAGGTGGATTGCGATGAGCACAAGGACCTTTGCAGCAAATATGATGTTAAAGGTTATCCCACTATCAAGTGGTTTCCAAAAGGCTCCTTGGAACCAAAAAAGTGAGTTCATACTGTTAAGAAATGTATTTATTCTATTCCAATGTTGCTTATGTCATCAGGTATATTTTGTCGAGAAGTCCTTTTCTCAGTGATATATTAATCCATCAAAAATATTAATTGTGTTGATTATACAGGTACGAAGGTGCACGTACTGCAGAAGCCCTCACTGAGTTTTTAAATACAGAAGGAGGTAATTCTATATCCTTAAATCTTATCGCTTCATATTCACCCAAGGAAGTGGTATTTAAATTCAGGACTAATTTGGTCTTAGGCTCTTAGCTTACAAGTTATGTAGATGATAGGTATGCCCTTGAAAAAGTCTTAAGGACATTCCAACGCGACTGTCCTTAGAGACTCGCCCAAATTAGAGTAGGGAATGCTCGGGTTAATCCTTGGGTTTAGGGTTAGTTTTAGGATTAGTTATGTTTTGGGACAGGTGTCCCTCTACAAGAGCGAGTGAT